ATCCAATAGATCTTGGACAGATTCCATGAATCACCTTAGTGCTTCGGTTGTCTTATTTATGAAATTATAAGAAGGAACAGGACTCTGTTTTTGGTTTTTAAAAAATTTAAAGAGGTTAATATTGTTAAAGCAAAAAAAAGATTGTTTAGCAGAAGACCAAGTCTAGTAAAATGTAATCTTTATCTGCAAGCAACAATGTAAACTCCTACAGAGATAGTCCTGACTGTGCATGATGCTATTATTATTAGAAACTCTGTTAAATCTATGTGCTTTTCAGAGAAAGACTGAAATTATTTCTTTATGACTCTGAAAATTGCCATTGTGTTTATCAGTACTTCAGAAATATTTCATGTACTCCACATGTAGAAAAAGAAGGGCTTGTACACAAATTAGGGGAACAAAAATCTCTGAAGAAAAGAAGATGTGGAAGTTTGAAAAGTCCCCATCTCAGTCATGTACCTGAGGAGTACAGCAAGGAAGTTTGAAAGAGGAAATATCTCTGCTTTACAGAAAATCACTTTGTACTCCGGGCTGTGTTCTTGCAATAATAGTGTTACATGGATATCCTAATGGGTTTCTTTGTGCTTTGACTAGAGCAGATTTCCAAATAGATAAGCATTTATTTAAAGAGACTAGAGCAGATTTCCAAATAGATAAACATTTATTTAAAGAGACAAATGGAAATTACACTTTAGTAGTTTCACAACCGACATACAGAAAACTTCCAGTGACTATTCTATGCTAGGATCTTGTCTTGCTTTTTTGGCTGGTGTCTAGAGAAATTCAAGCTTTGTTTTTATCAAGATTTCTGTCAGTCAGGAGATTGATTCTTTGACCTGGCAACCATCTAACAAATTCCCTGAAGCTGTAGCTATTTTGCAGATTCCATTAATTCTGAGAACAGCATCCATAGGGGATTTCCTTCTTCTACACACTGCTGCCCTCTTGTTCCAGTAGTATGCTAAATGTCAAGCAAGGGAATGGAGATTTAAACAAGCAAACAAAAAAAAAAGACAATTGTCTTTACCGTAAAGACCATATAGTCTAACTGAAAACTTGAAACATTTAATTCTGAAAGTAATTTTGGCTTAAACCAATGAGGATTTATGTAATTAATATTCATTGTCAGAAAATATTAACAGTATAGAAGTTAGTAGTAATGCTGATAATAGAGGTAATCCAAAATTTAATCTTTGAGTATTTACAATAGGCCAGTACCTAGTCTAAGCCTTAGTGCATCATTACGTTGGATGAAATAGTGTAGTAGGGCTTCTATTATGAAGTATCACAAACTAAATGCCTAAAACAATAGAAATGTTCTCTCATAGTTTTGGTAGGAAGATATCAGAAAGAGCAATCTCCTGTTCCTGATAGCTTTAGGAAAGAATATGTCTTTGAATCTTTCTACCATGTAGTGCTCCCACAGTCCTTCTCACTCCTTGGCTTGTAGGTGTATTATGCCAGTTGTTGCCTTAGTCACATGATCTTATGCCCTGGATTTGTGTGGCCTCTCTATTTTATGTAAGGGTAACAAATGGGTATTTAGACTCCATCCTAAGCCAGTGTGACCTCATCTGAATTAAAAAAGATTTATAAAGACTATTTCTTAATATTATATTCTGAGTTTCTAGGTAGATAATTTCTTTTTTGCATAAACGTGAATTAGTACACTACAGAGGCAAACTAATTAAGACAAAAATTGAATATGAATTCTACAACTTGAGGTGGAACCTCAAAGTGGAAGAGAGCTTGGGTTTCAATTCAACAAATACTTATTCAGCTGTGCAGGAGTGCTGCAAGCCATAGAAACACGTAATGGAATTCAGCTACTATCACAAAAGCTACTACTTGAAAAAGTCAAGGATTTCTCCAAAGGTCAAGCCATAGCTTAAGAAGTCTTGGTGATATTTTAGCTTTTGTTTATATATTAGCTGGTTTCTACATTGATTTTCTTGTATTGCTATGTGTGCTTCCAAGAATTCCTAACAGTCTATTTATCTAAAATACCTATCAAGCATCCAAGGCCAAACGAAACAACACCTGTCTCCAAGTCAGGAGGATAGCTTTATTTCTTGGGCTATTTAGGATGAGAACCTCCTTCCTTATAGCCTTACTAATAGACTTCTAATTTCTTACCTAACCATCTCTAGGAATGTAGATTGAGCACATAAATTCTCTTCTAGACTAACCAATCATTAGCACTCATTTGGGTTGTAGAAGAAAGCCTGACAGGCACTGCATGAGGAAAATTTTTACCTGCTTTATGACCCCATAAGAACTCAGGCCTGGTGACCTTGCTCTGCCAGAAGATCACTATGGTCTCTGAACACCTCAGAGACTGAGGGGAACTGAGATATAAGGAGAACAAAGAGAGGATATTGAGGATTTGGGCTGGAGAGGATTTTTGATTAGAGAACTGGTCAGGATGGAAGATGAGGAAGAGCCAGATGGGAAAGTACTAGATGGGTAAGAACGAACTGAGAAGGACCTAGATGAGGCAGAACTAAGTTAGAACTTAGAGGGGACAACAGATAAAGGCAGAGACAAATCAGGCAAGAAGTAGCTAGGCATGAGAGCAGAATAGAATCTGTGTAGAGAGAGAACTGACTGAGAAGAATAAAGTGTATGAACTAAGGAGTTTCCTGTATGTAGATTCATTTCATATTATCAGAGATTAAATTATCAGCTGGTTGTAGATTCTTCCCGGACCCTGGGAGGGGACTATCAAGGGGCTGGACCCCCGTAGCCCCCAATATAGGAGTAGAGAGATTCCACATCCAGTGTTAGTATTTATTGAAATAGAGATTTGTATTGCAAATACATACAAATTTAAGTAAGACTTTTTTTTCAGTAGAATAGCTTTATACAGTAGATGCCCAGAGCAGGTATGTTACCTCTGTGCTCTGTCCTTCACCTCACTCTCAGAACTGACATCTTCAGAGACAGAACAGGAAGGTTGAGAGAACAACCCTATTTCATTGGCAAAGGAACAGGTGATAAAAGAGACTCTTTTGGTAACTAACTCAGTATTCAGGAGTTTTTCCTGAGGCCTATCCCTTTTCATAAGTTAGCCATGTAACCACACTTAATTGCAAAGGACACCGATCTCATTGTATTATTACAAAACCAAAACCAAAAATTACAACTCTGTTACCAAGAATGGAGAATAGATGTTAGAACTCTGTTTTTCTACCCAGAGATACAGGAACTCAAAATATGTTTTGGAAAGAATATGTTATTATATGTATTAATTTTCTGTTGGTTGCCACTGTAACTGAATACCACAAAATTCTAGTCTTAAATTAATATTATTTCATTTTCTATCATTCAGGAGGACAGCCAAAATGATACTAGCAGAGATGTGTTTCTTACAGTGGTTCTCAATCTGTGTGTTGCAACTACAAATAGACCTTCGGAAAACACAGATATTTACATTACAATTCATAACATTAGCAAAATTGCAGGTATGAAGTAGCAACAAAAATAATTTTATGGTTGAACATCACCATAGCATGAAGAACTGTATTAAAGGGTCACAGAATTAGGAATATTGAGAACCCCTGTTTCTGGAGGTCCCAAAGAAAGACCTGTGTCAACCTCTTATCAATGTCTAGAAGGTATCTGCATTCAATACAACATGATCCCCATCCCTTCATCTCTGATGACAGCATGATTGCATCTTTCTTTTTGTTCTTCTGATTTTTCATGTCTCTGTCTGACTCTAAATTCATCTGGGAAAGTTCTTCTCTTAAGGTGTTAGTTTTGGTTCCTGTGGGTGATCCAAGAAACTTTCTCCATCTAATTAATTCTGAAAATAACCATGCATATTTCCACATAAATAATATGTACACAGACTCCAAAAATTAGGAAATGGACAATTATGACAGGGTAGTCATTTCTTTTTACTTGTCATTTGTGGATAGACAGTTAAAATGCCATTGGATAAGTCTTACAAAATAAGTGCAGGTTGGCATACAAAGAGAAGCTCAACTTCATAAATGGATATGATTTTCAGAGATGCTCCATGTTGTCCTTGTAGGGGTTGTCACTGCTTCAGTGAAACACCCTGGCCTAAGACAACTTGGGGAAGAAAGGGTTTATTCAGTTTATACTTCTAAATCACTGTTCATCATTGAAGGAAGTCAGGATAGGAACTCAAACAGGGCAGAAACCTGGAGGCAGGAGTTGATACAGAGTCCACGGAAGAGTACTACATACTAGTTGCTCCTCCTGGCTTGCTCAGCCTTTCTTAAAGAACCTAGGACCACCATGCCCGGGATGGCACCACCCATAATCGACTGGGCCCTCCCCCATCAATCACTAATAACAAATTGACCTATAGGTTTGCTTACAGCCCCAGCTTATGAAAGCATTTTCTTAATTGAGGTTTCCTCCTGTGAGATGACTTCAGCTTGTGTCAAGTTGACATTAAACTAGTCAGCACACATGTATAAAACAGAAACTTCATAGAAGGGATCACAAGAAATTTATGCATGATTGGAAAGTTAAGGAATATGATCATTACTGATTGCCAGCTTGACAGAACCTAAAATAATTTAGACAAGCTTCTGGGTACACCTATCAAGAATTATTGAGATTAGGTTAGACTGTGGGGAATGCCTATGAGGGATTATTTTGAATAGGTTAATTGATAGCAGATGATACACTTTTACACATTGACTGTATTTGGCACCATTACAAGAGCTGAGCTCCTGGACCGAATGTAAAAGAGAAAGCCTGCTGAGTGCCAGCACTTACTGCTCTCTGTTTCTCAATGGTGAGTTCAGTGTTATCAGCTGCTTCAAGCTCCTGTTGCACTGACATCCTTGCCACTGTAGACTGTGCCCTGGAACTATGAGACAAAATAAACTCTTCCTGCTTAGAATTTCTTTAGTCAGGGCATTTTATCAAGTGACAGGAGAAGCAAACAAGACAAGAGGCAAGTGTGCAGATTCCTAAGTGACAGGCCTAGGTATTGGATATGAATGTGCACACAAGGGAAAAGTAGAAGAAAATATTTTATTGAAGGAGTGATGAGAGGAAGACAACGATTGGGAAAGATAAATTTGTTCACATGAGCATGAAAAACAGCCAACAGATTAAAGGTCCACTCTAAAGATTCATATGCAAATGAAAAGATTTTCATTAAGCTTGAGAGGGAAAAGGAAAAAAATATTTTTTTGTCATGAATAATGGAAAGAGCAGAACAATCCAGTGAAAATTGATTCTGAGATTTTTAAATATGAGCAAAGAAGAATGCAGAGAGAAATAGTTTACAAAGCAGGGAAATCAAATTGTCATATCAAATATATATATACTTATGGTAACATTAATCCTCATCTAGAAATATATATACTGTTAGGTAGTATTGTAGAAAAAATAAAAAGCCTCGATTTTTGCATTTAATGAATGAAGAATGGTCATAAAATATTGAGTTATCTGGACTTCTTTAATTCATATTATTGGGCTGCCTGTTCATTTTTTTCCTTTGAAGATGAGAAACATTTCTTCCTATCAATAAAATAAATATACCAATTTCCTGTCAGCAGACAAAGGCCATGAAGACAATGAAGTCCTTTTTATATACACACAGTAAAATACAACTGAAGTGGGAACATTTTAAATCTGCTCTATAGGATGGGTGGAGACTAGGCTGCCATTGTTGCAAAGGTCAACTACAGAGAACACTGGTGTCAGGGAGAAAAGAAAAACAATTTATTTGATAAAAATTATTTGCATTAAACTGAAGTTTTAATAGATTTCTATAGAGTATTACATTACCAGAAGAAATTGAGTGAGATCAAAATTGTATCTGTTAGAAGTTCTTGTTGGGATCATCCTCAAGTCTTGCCGGGGTCTTTTATGCTTTAACATCCACGAAGATTTCTGAACACAGTATAAATAAGGAACAGGTCTCAGAGCAGCATCAAAAGTTGACCTATAACCGTTGTATTTGTGATTTTCCAATAATCTCTCTTCCTCAACTTCATCACTCAGGAAATTACAGCTTCAGCATTGAGTGAGCTCAGGATAACACACATGGGAATTACTACCAGAGCAAGAGCAGGCTATGTTGTTTGTGGTGCAGAGAAGGTGAAGAACCCTGGAACAATCAAACACCATGCATATTTGTGAGAACACATAAAACATTTATCAAGACTTCTAAACTAGTGTTTATTCTGATAGAGGCCATAAACCATAGGAAGCTGGCCAATTTCCTATAGTCTGAAGTCATCTATAGCCTCAGGACTAGGTATTATAAAAGAATTAGATAGTAATACAAAAACACACACTGCTACCTAGATGAATACACATAGTGATGGCAAAACCTATTTTGATTATGTCTTTAAGGAAAGAGGGACCATTACTTTGAATTTCTATGTGTATGTTTATGTAAATGTGGAGGTACTTGTATAGTTAAGTGCATATGATGTCAGAGGTCAATCTCAAAGGCCACTCCACAGGAACTGGGATCTGGGGATTGAGCTGAGGTTCTCATGCCTGCACAGCCAGGGCTCTGCCAACATAGCAATCCCCCTGCCTCCATGCTCTCTAAAGCCAAATTCCAAATAAACCATACCTCTTTCATAGTTTATAGCAGCTTCAAATATCAATTTCTCTATTATGAGCCTGAATTTGGGCAAGTTACCAAGCTTCTCAATGCCTCTGTGTACCCATTTAAAAAAGGAAATAAGAAGCATATGTTCTCACAGGTTTTATTTTTATGAGGTTTTAAAGAGACAACCCCTGTAAAATACTTAGTGAAGTCTTGAAAAGACAATACAATAGTCGAAAACAAATGTGAAAGAGAAAAATAAAATCTGCCATAGAAGTTTAAGACAAAGTTCCTCATAGAAATACTACTGTGCATTAAAGAGACAGTTAAAGTCAAAGACAAAGAAATATAGAGGAACACAAAAAAGCTATGCTCATTCTGCCACCTTGTTTTACTCAGCAGCTAACTCATCCCTAGCTAGAAGCCTCCTGTATCCTCAGTGACAAAGCTGACAGCTGGTAGCCTACAGATGTGGAGCTCATGAGAAATGCTTTCCTGTCAGCACAAGTGAATGTTTACCTGCCCATGTCTGTGGCATCTTGTGGCAAGGGCATTCAGGAGTAAATATTGGTTTTACCTTCTAGAACTACAGGTTATAATTATAAAGCAGGGATTCCATATAACTTAAATGAGCAGTTTAATTAATTAGAAAGCCTTTTTAAAAGTCAAGCCTGCTTTTATATTAAATAGCTATCATATGGACTCATAATTTATTTGAGAAGAGAGATTCTTCTCCCCCATCCCTGCCCCTTTGTTTAGTTATTGACTAATTCTTACCCAAGGACAGCATAAACATTAACCAATTTGCCACTGGTAAAGAAGGGAGAAAGAATATTTTAGTGTTATGATTAGCATCATATTATGGCTTCAGTATCCCTTGGTGTTAGGAAACACAAGATTCCATCATAATTTATCACTTTCACTTTTAATGAGTTACTAGAAAAATAGGTACTTGATGATCAATGAGCTGTTCCAAAGAGTGAAGCCAAGGTCTTTTATCTTTGGTTGAATGAAGAGTTCTAATAGCCATGCTGTAAAAAGGTGGAGTAGACTAATGAGCACGCACACAACAATAGTGAAGGGCTCTACACAACTCCTTGAGAAAAAGTTGGAAGTATACTGTCAAACTGCTTGCCCAATTCAGAGAAAGTAAAATCCTTAGAATAAATGAATAAATAAATATAATTTTGAAGGGCTCATAATGTACTTCAGGTGGTAGAGAGTTTATCTGGCATGCTTGAAATCCTGGTTTCAATGCCCAACACCCAGAACTTCATGAACAAAGAATGGTGGTGTTGTCCTGAAATCCCAGCACATAGGAAGTGAAAACAACAAGTATATATGCAGAGGGATGTTGAGTCAATTGGGCATAATCCTATGTATTTAGGAATATTTATGTATACATACTTGCATGCATATATATTTGCATGTACCAATTAGTGAAAAAGAAGAAATGGATTTGAAAGAAATTAATGAGGGTTACATAGAAAGGTTTAGAGGAAGGAAATTAAAAGGGTAAATGATGTAACTATATTCTCCAAAAATATAAGAAGTGATAAAAATTACACTTTCTTAAACACTTGAAGAACAAGTAAGAGTCAACAGCCCTGGCAGCTTTACCAGAGGCGAGGCTGTTCCTTGGGACCCCAAGTAAGACACCATCAAACACCCAGTAACACTCCTTAAAGCCTACCCAACAACCCCTGCACCCCCTTCTCTGGACTTCATCTTCCTACCTACCACTTCAGAAGAAGACTTAGGCTCTACCAGAGGTCAGGCTGTTCCCAGGGACCCCAGGTAAGACACCTATCTGCTGCCCATTAACCCTTTTTAAAGTCTGCTCAACATTTTTAAGAAAAATCAACAGATAAACAGGTCTTTAGCAAAAATAATTAAAAGGTAGAGAGAAAATATCCAAATCAACAAAATCAGAAATGAAAAAGGGGACATAACAACAGACACTGAGGAAATCCAGAGAATCATTAGTTCATACTTCAAAAACTCAGAAAAATCTAAAAGAAATGGACAAATTTCTTGGTATAAACCACATAGCAAAATTAAATGAAGATAAGATAAAATATTTAAAGAGACCCATAAGCCCTAAGGAAATAGAAGCACTCATGAAAAGTATATCTTGACAGAGTGAACCATTGAGGGGTTAGGGGAAAATCTGGAGTACAGGAAATCTTCAGGAACTCACAAGGATGTCCCCAGCTAAGACTCATAGCAATGGTGGACAGGGTGTTTGAACTTGCCTTCCCCTGTACTCAGATTGGTGTCTACCCTAAATGTCATCATAGAAGCCACATCCAGTGACTGATGGAAACAGATGAAGAAACCCACAGCCAAGCAACTTGAACTCCTGGAGTTCAGTTGAAGAGAGGAGGAGGAATTATAGGAGCAAGGTGGGTCAGGGTCATGATGGGAAAAACCACAGAGATAGCTGACGCAAGCTAGTGGGAGCTCATGGACTCTGGACTGACAGCAGGGGAGCCTGCATGGGACCACACTAGGCTCTCTGAATGTGGTTGACAATTATGTGGTTTGATGTCTTTCTGGGTACCCTGGCAATGAGACCAGGACTTATCCCAGGCACACCAACTAGTTATTTAAAGCCAGTTCACTATGATGCAATGCCTTACTCAGCTGTGATGTAGTGCTGAGGGACCTGCCCCAACTTGGTATGCCAGCCTGTGTTGACTACCCAAGGGAGGACTTACCCCCTATGAGGAGAGAATAGGGGTATGATAGGAAAGAGAATAGGGGTATGAGAGGGAGCAGGAGAAGGGGAAAGAGGGAGAACAGGGATTGGCAAGTAAAATAAAAAATAAATAAATAAATAATAAGTCTACCAAGCAAACTAGCACAGAGTCAGATGGTTTCAGCACAGAATTCTACTAGACTTTCAAAGAAGAGCTAATACTAATATTCTTCAAATAATTCTACAAAACAGAAACTGAAGAAATATTGCCAATTTAGTTTTATGAGGTCACAGTCACCCTGATACCCAAACTACACAAAGACTCAACAAAGAAAAAAAATTACAGGCCAATTTCTTCATGAACTTTCATGCAAAAATACTCAATAAAATCTCACAATCCAAATCCATAAATGAATCAAAAAGATCATCCACTATATCATATAAGCTTCATCTTAGAGATACAGGTTCAACATATGAAAATCTGTAAATGTAACCCACCATATAAACAAACTGAAAGAAAAAAATCCATATGATCATCTCATTACATGCTCAAAAATTCTCTGACAAAATCCAACAACCCCTCATGAGAAAAGTTGGAAAGATTCAAGGACCATATCTAAACATAATAGAATCAATAAATAAAAATACAGCAAGCCAACAGCCAACATCAAATTAAATGGAGAGAAACTTAAAGCAATTCCACTAAAATTAGGAACAAGAAAAGACTGCCCACTCTCTCCATATTTATTCAATATAGTACTTGAAGATCTAGCTGGAGCAATAAAAAAAACTAATGGAGATAAAGAGAAATTGAATTAGAAAGGAAGAAGTCAAAAGTATCATTATTTACAGATGATATGAAGCATACATAAAAGGCCCCAAAAATTCTCACAGAGAACTTCTACAACTGATAAAGACCTTTAGTGAAGTGGCTGGATACAAGATTAACTCCAAACAAACAAACAAAAAAAAATCAGGCTGAGAAAGAAATCAGAGAAACAATACCCTTCACAATACTCATAAATAATATACAACATCTTGGTGTAACTCAAACAAAGCAAGTGAAAGACCTGTATGGCAAGAATTCCAAGTCTCTGATAAAAGAAATTAGAAAAGATATCAGAAAATGCAAAGATCTCCCATGCTCATGGATCAGTCCATCTTACCAAAAACTATCTACAAATTCACTGCAATCTCCATTAAAACCCCAACATATTTCTTCTTTACAGACCTTCAAAGAACAATACTCAACATTTTATGGAAAAACAAAAAAAAATAGATTAAAAAAATCCTATAAAATAAAAGAGCTAAAGATATCACAATCCCTGATTTCAAGCTCTACTACAGATCTATAGTAATAAAAACAGTATAGCATTGGTATAAAAATCATACAGGTGTCTCAATGGAATCTACATGCTTATGAACATTGGATTTTTGACAAAGAAGCTAAAATTATACAGTAGAAAAAAGAAAGCATCTTCAACAAATGATGCTGGAATAAATGGATGTTGACATATAGAAGAATGAAAATAGATCTCTCTCTCTCCATATATATATATATGTGTGTGTGTGTGTGTGTGTGTGTGTGTGTGTGTGTGTGTGTGCGCGCGCATAAAACCCTGCACAAGGCCGGGCGGTGGTGGCGCACGCCTTTAATCCCAGCACTCGGGAGGCAGAGCCAGGCGGATCTCTGTGAGTTCGAGGCCAGCCTGGTCTCCAAAGTGAGTTCCAGGAAAGGCGCAAAGCTACACAGAGAAACCCTGTCTCGAAAAACCAAAAAAAAAAAAAAAAAAACCCTGTACAAAACTCAAGTCCAAGTGGATCAAAGACATCAAAATAAATCTAG